GGGGAGAAAATGTTTATCCACTCGTTTAGTTTTATACGTCCTTCGAGCATGGGCGCACCGGTGGATATAATATCCACAGAAGATAAAAAATGAGAGATAGACTATCCTCGCAATTATTACCACTATAAGAAAATTCCAAAACACAACTTAAAGTCACACCCAATGAACTACGATAAAATTGTCCCTTTCCAATGTCAAAAAAGCAAATTTTTTATCTTTCATTTGGCTATATACTACGGACAGGGGATATATGTCTAATCGTTATGTCAAACGGGGATATACTTTTCTCCGTAGCCGTACAATTTTATCTCTTATCAGTGGATATAATCCGGGCATAAATTTTTTGTCCCCTAGACCATGCTAGCCGTGCAGGAGCAACAATCCTTCGCCGGTCAAGTTCCCGCCAAAACTCGCATTCGTAATCGATAGTGGATATGTAATGGTCACAGATTAAAAAATGTTACTACGTAAGCATGTGCTATCGGGTTGATTATATTATGCATATACTTAGAATATTCTGGCGTAGTGTATTCTAAGTCTATGATTATATGCTCGTTTAAAACCTTTAGCTACTTCTATAAAAATAGATACTCGTTCCCCTATTTACCATGTAAATATTTTACTTATATTAAATTAAACAGTAACCAAGATAAAAATAAAAGATTATAATTATAATGTACTTTATAAAAAAAAAAAATTAAGTGATTATAAAAACCAACTTCCGCAAAATCAACAGCGATTAATACAAACATGCGTGGGTGCATAAACCAGAATTGAATTACCACAGTGATTTGAAATTAAACTTTTAATTAAATTTAAAAACTGATTTTAAAAACAAATCGATAACAATTCTCAACAATTTTAGGTCATTTTTTACGTGGTAGAGCTATGCTGCAGCTAAATTGTGATTGCAGCACGAATGGTCGTTTTGTATGGTGAGTGTAAAGGCCACTTTACTGGAAACGAGGCATTCCATCTCAGTCCTCAGGGGTTAAAACGCATCTGCAGTTTGATTCTTAATTGAGGATAAATGTAGCTATGGGCCGCAGCATCCACTTACCATCAGGTGGACTGTGTGCTCGTTTGTCACCCTTATTCTATAAAAAAAAAACTACTAAGCCGGTGCTAAAATCCAATATAGCATCTAATTATTTAAGGTCCGACTTAAGGAGCTATTGTATGGAAGTTATATTATTCTTTTCGATTTATTAATTCTTAAGAAGGGTTTGATTTTTGTTATCTTTTTGAGTGGACTAAGAAATATCAAAAGCTCAAAGTAACAACTACAATAACGTTTAAATCGAATACAATAAAAACTTAGTCCTCTATTTTAACGCTCCTTTCCTTCAAATTAGTAACTACATTTGAGTTATAGCATTTTTTATTTTATAAAAAAAAAAAGAATAATTTACATGATTCAGCCGATAAAAAACATACGCGTCGAATATAGAACCTTTTTTGAAATCGTTTAAAAAGTGATTGCTTAACAATTGTTGGAAATTTCACGTGTAGTTTGAAGTATTTACCGAGCCTCGATAATGCACCATCGATCGGGCTATCGTGCGACATCGGCCCTTGGCAATGACCAAGCACTATAACAAATATACATAATATTTATATACAAACGTTGTATTAACTCGTCATTAGTGTTACATCAAAATTATTTCGTGCGGTGCTCGCCCATAATACTGAATATCAAAAGCGTCAGTATTTATGTAAGTAGAGTAATTACATACCTACTGTTACCTACTGTTACAGTCTATGAAAATCCAACTAATGTAGATAGGCCTCCCCTATAGAAATATGTTAAAGCAAATATCTTCCATATTTGTCAATAAATGAAACTGAAAATAAGTAGACTCGACCGGGCAAGAACCACGCTCTCCAAGAATCATCACCATCATCATCATTACAGCCCTTCACAAGTCCACTGCTGAACATAGGCCTCCACCAAGGAATGCCACAAAGCACGGTCCCAAGCCACCTGCACCCATTGACTTCCTGCATGTCTTACCAGGTCGTCACTCCATTTAGTGGGGGAACGCTCTACACTTCGCCTGCCGGTACGAGGCTGCCACTCGAGAACCTTTCTTCCCCATCGATTGTCGGTTCTTCGAGCTATACTCCGGACTTTTGCCACTTCAGAATACTAATTCTTTGAGCTATGTCGGTTACTCTGGTTCTACTGCGGATATCCTCGTTTTTAAGTCTATCACGCAGAGAAACGCCGAGCATAGCCCTCTCCATAGCTCGCTGAGCGACTTTGAGCTTCCTCATGCAGCCAGCAGTGGAGGACCACGTCTCAGTTCCATAGGTCATCACTGGGAACACGCCCTGGTTCTCCAAGAATACCGGCGTGATATAGCAGCTTGATGCTGCTGTATTTCGTATGGTAAGACGACATACAAATTAGTAAAACATTATTTTGTAAATGTCACCTAGGGTGGCCCCTTAGATGGGGACGACCTGATAAGACATGCAGGATGTCTATTATTTTATATTCCACAGGGGAGGAATGATAACATATCATAATATATTAGACATCGACAGTCATAATCTCGAATCTGATTGTATGTGGTTTGTAGGTTAGGGCTCCTTCTGAGTAGGTACCTTGTCTTACTGCCTCTTACCTATTCTAGCCGCCAAATATTTTGTGTTCCGATCTAAATTACATATATATAGAGCCAGTTTAATTACAGGTTGTGAGGCATTCCATATCCTTTGTTTGAAGTTGGATTCAGGTGCTTATTGACAGCAGTAGCCACTTTCAATCAGATGGACTGTTGGTTCGTTTGTCCCTTCATTTTTATAATAAACTAGCTGTTCCCCGTGACTTCGCCCGCGTGTAATTTTGATTTTTATTTTTTTGCGCATAGCCCTAATTCTTTCTAAAATAAAATTAACCTAAGTTACTCCTTATAACATCAGCTATCTGCCAATAAAAGTTCCGTCAAATCGATCCAGTCTTACCAGAGATTAGCCGAAAGAAACAGACAGACACACAAAAATTTTAAAAATTGTGTGTTTGTTAAGTACCGTATATACTTTCTTTTTGTATATTCTTTTGTATTTAGTAAAAAGCTGTTATTTTGACATTACAAAGAGACACTTAAATTTTATTTATTTGTAATATTTGTGTAGATAAATTTGAATTTGAATGGACGTGTGTAAACAATTTTAAACAAAGCAACTTACAGATGTTTTGGCACCCCTGACAGCTGATATAGAAGCAAAGTTTTGAAAGATGTGGCCTTACAAAGCTGAGCGAGCGACTTAGTAAGTGCAGAGCAATTATTTAAAAATTAGCAATGATTGTGGAGGATCAACCCCAAGAGCCGGTATGAAATCGGCGTTTTGAAATGAATATAATGCTATCTATGGGTCGCTAGAGTCGGTCGTCAATAAACAAGGCACCATCACATGCAGTCGAGGTTTCAAGACAAAAAAAATATAAGCGTTTTGAACCCAATTTACAGCAAATCTAAACTCAAAAATCAACAATTTTATCTTTTTTAATTAAATTCAATCTTTCAAAGAAGAGTTTGAAACTAGCAGTTAGAATTTGTAACTTTGTATTAATAGTAGTAGGGTTGGTAAACGAACACTTAACAGTGGTAGAGCCACGTGGCGGCTTTTGCTGTCGCACGGATGGGCCGGCTCGAACCGGGGTGGAACCACGACCTCACAGAATACCAGCGTGAAGTAGAGGTTTACCTCTGCGTTTCGCTTGGTGATTGCAGGTGGCCGGAGGCCCTTTTTACTGGAAATGAGGCATTCCATCTTAGTCCTCACGGGTGACAACGCATCTGCATTTTTATTTGTAATAGAGGATAGATGTAGATGTCTATGGGCCGCAGCAACCACTTACCATCAGGTGGACTGTGTGCTCATTTGTCACACTTATCCTATAAAAAAAAACACATGATCCACCTATTCATAGGTGGGCGCTTTGGTTCATCACCTAAATCTATTCTCATTCAATAATTAAAATTAAATGCCTCGTTACCAGTAAAATAGTCTCCGATTCTCGTCACTTACCACACGAAATATAGCAACGTCATGCTGCTATTTTACGCTGATATTTGTGGTACTTTTTTTTTCTTTCTTTTTCTTTTTTTAAAGACGTCTCCATACTAGGATCTTCTCCTGCACAATGAGGGCAGTTTACATACATACATTTCACAAGGGCAAACATCCAGATCCTCTGTTCAAGCGAAATCCTTTCTCGGTCGACCCGATCCATTTGTGCTATATCCTAATAGGCTACAGCGTGGCTCTACCGTTTAAAAATGTCTGGTGGCAATTTTGCCGGTGGGACATAGGATTCGTGCCACAACAGTGTTATGTTTTCTCAATTCTCATGATAACAATATATAAAAATACGAAAATATATAAAACAGACATTGACTTGATACATACACTACCACTTACTTACTTACTCTCTACTACTCCCTAACGAGACACATTTTGAATATTTGACACTATTGACCAATTAAATACTTTTTAAGAGTTGTCAAACTAATATACAAAGAACGAAGAAAGTTATTGTTCTGAGGAAAGAACATAGTGCAAGGACGCCAAAGTTTTTTTTTAGTTTTTTGAAATACTAAAAATGCAATCTAATTTAAAATGTATAATCACCCAAAATCTATTACACTTATAAAAGTAACTAATTTATATTATATCACGGAGTAATTTATTACTGATAGTTTCAAATAACCAATTGTATGGAAACATGAACAGCGCCCCTGGTGGACGTAAACGGAACTATGTTTCGTCGAACAAAGTCAATCAATGATACGAAAGAAAACTCAAGCTGAGTAGGTACTGTACCTACTCAACTTAAGTTTGATATGCTTTTTGATTGATTTTGATATGGTTGTCATATGAACTCTACTGTCAACCATAGATTATTACATATATCTGTAGTCTAAAGAAAGTAATTAAACTCTAAACCCTGTACTCGCTACTGCAATAATAATGTATATTAGAATACGTACTGTTACCAACAGCGTACTGCTGCAACAGGTCGGTCATGTTGATGTGCACCATTCCGCGCCGCTCCTGCATTAAGTTGTCGCAGTGGGTCACCTTCCCGCTGCCCGGGCCTCCTGGACGAAATAGCATTTTTAATCACTTTGAATTTTAGGATCTCATCGCGTTTAATTTTAACTTAAAATAAGGTAAGTAAGTTACCCAGCACAAAAATGACGGGCACGTTGGGTGGCTCGAATTTGACGTGGCTAGAGTTCTGCATGGGAAATGAGGCGGCAGGCGGTGTCGCGCGATCCGGCCACGCGCTGTCGCGTCGACTACGCACCCCGCTCCTAGATTCCAGCTCATCTTTGTTTTGTTCTAAGGACACAATGTTTTTATTAACAATCCATATAATTAAATATGTTTAAAAATACAATATTATGTAGTGTGGAGGCAGTGTAGGAGAATCCACAAACCCATTTATTTCGTCCCGTGTAGTACACAACTACCTATCTTCTTCACGTGGTAGAGCCATGCTGCAGCTATATTATAGCTGTAGCACGAATAGGTCTGCTCGACCGGGGAAGGACCACGCTTTCACAGAATACCAGCGTAAAATAGCAGCTCAATGCTGCTGTGCTTCGTATGGTGAGTGTTTAAAGCCGAAGAAGCATTTTATTGCAAACGAGGAATTCCAGCTTAACCCTCAGGGGTGACAACTCATCTGCACTTTGATTTTTAATCAAGGAAATGTAAATGTCTATGAGCCACAGCACCCACTTATCAGCAAGTGGACTGTGTACTCGTTTGTGCATGCACCCTTATTCTATAAAAATAAGCCAATGAATTTTTGTATAAATTCTATTATTAGGTAGGTATGCAAAATAGTTTCTTAACTATAAATTTAGATCAATTATTTAAAAAAAAAGTAGGTGTGGTCCATGAGGGGAACGAACCCGCGACCTTCGCGTTATTAGCACGACGCTCTAACCAACTGAGCTAATGGGTTAATGGGTTGTAGTTACACTTGGATTAGTTAAAAAAAAATACTTTAAATATTATCGGATCGGATTTAAATTTATACAATGTATGTTTTTTTTATAGGAGAGGGGGCAAACTAGTATGCGGCTCACCTGACGGTAAGTGACTACCGCCGCCCATGAACAACTGCAACACCAGGGGAATTTCAGATGCGTTGCCAGCCTTTTAAAAAGGAGTAGGCTCTTTTCTTGAAGGTCCCTAACTCGTATTGGTCCGGAAAAATTAAAGATTATCTGACCGATAACGATATACGGTACATTATAAAGACTTTTAAATCACACAATTACAATTTTTAAACCGTAATCGAGAACAGACGTAACTAGCAATATCAATGGACTATAACATCTATCCACTTTACCACCAAGTGCAATATGTACTTGTTCTTTACCCCTCTATCATATTATTTATTAGCCCACAAAAGTCCACTGTTGGATTGAGACTTCCCCGTTGTAATGTGAATTTTCCTTCATCGTTACGCTTGGTGACCCGGATCGATGGTCGCAGCACCAGACCTCTCGCACCTTTATGCTGCATCCAGTTGAAGTCTGTTTTTACGTCTGTCGTAAGCAAAATGGTTATTCCGCCAACTATTGTATATTGTCCCCTTGCTAGTCTAAAAAAAAATAGTGCGTGTAATTGTACGTATGAAGTGAAACTTCTTTACGACATTTCATTTTTCTTTTATGTTATATTTTAAATATGTAGGTTAGATAATAGATTACTCATGCAGCCACGGTGAAACGTTAAAAGAAAACGTGACGGTTTTGATATTAATACAGTACGTAATTTCTCCACTACGTCGATAAAGAAGTTTCACTTCAATAGAACAGTTTCTGGGTTCGATTCCCGCACGGAACGAGTATTTGTATGGCCAAAAACTGTTGTTTCGGATCTGGATGTCTGTTCTTGTGCAGTTTATGTTTTTACAGATGATCCCGCCATGATACATTTGAAAATCCTAGTGTTATGATTGTTTTGTGAAAAATTAAAAAATAAAATTAAAGACTATCACAACTACCTACCAAATATGTTATATTTATTACATAGTATATTTAATAGTTTATTTTTTTATAATGATTTTTTTTTTAATTTACCCGAATATTACACATATATGATTTGATGGATTTTATTTATTTTTTTCTTTTTTTTTATAGGAGAGGGGACAAACGAGCATGCGGCTCACCTGATGGTAAGTGACTACCGCCGCCCATGAACAACTGCAACACCAGGGGAATCGCAGATGCGTTGCCGGCCTTTTAAAAAGGAGTACGCTCTTTTCTTGAAGGTCCCTAAGTCGTATCGGCCCGGAAAAATCGCTGATGGTAATCGATTCCACAAGGAGGTCGTGCGAGGAAGAAAATATCTTCTAAATCGCACAGTGGTGGACCGCCAATCATCCAGATGGTGTGGATGGTATCGGGAGTTCTGCCGCGATGTGCGTTCGTGAAATTTGGCGGCTGGGATTAATCCGAACAATTCCTCAGAGCACTCCCCATGGTAGATGCGAATGAAAATGCAAAGGGATGCAACATCTCTTCGCAGTGCCAATGAATCGAGCCGATCGGAAAGGGCTCGGTCGTCGACGATTCGAGCAGCTCTGCGTTGGATGCGGTCAAATGGAAGGAGCTGGCACTGGGGAGCCCCTGCCCAGAGATGGGAACAGTATTCCATGTGAGGCCGAACTTGCGCCTTGTAAAGTTGCAGGCGGTGTGCCAGCATGAAATACTGTCCCGCTCTGCTGAGCACGCCAAGCTTTTTAGAGGCCACTTTGGCCTTCCCTTCCAAGTGACCACGAAACTGCACGTCACTCGATATGTCGACTCCGAGGATACCGATACTGGCTGAGGCAAGAAGAGGAGTGCCTTGAAACTGAGGAGATACGACAAAGGGGTTCTTTTTAGCGGTAAACGCGCAAACTTATGTCTTCTGAGGATTAAACTGGACTAGATTTAGTCGCCCCCAATCCGAGACTTTGCTCAGCAGAGACTCGACTTCAGACACAAGTTTGTTCCGGTACTCAGCGACGTTTTCCCGCGAAATATTGGCACGGCCGGTGTATAGAGCATCACCAGTGCTGTCATCCGCATAGCAATGAATGTTACCAGTAAGCAACATATCATTGATATTTGCAGAAGAAACAGCGTTGGTGATAGCACACAGCCTTGCGGAACACCAGCGTTAATAGGCTTGTAGTCAGAGCATGCACTGTCTACAACGACCTTGATGCTCCGATCTGCAAGGAAGCTGGTGATCCAATTGCACAATTTTTCGGGAAGCCCATAGGAAGGGAGCTTCGAAAGAAGCGCTTTGTGCCAAACCCGATCGGAGGCCTTCGCAATGTCCAGACTAACGGCCAACGCCTCCCCCTTGGACTCTACTGCCTCCGCCCATCTATGGATCAGGTAGACCAGAAGATCACCAGCTGATCGACCCCGACGAAAACCGTATTGGCGGTCACTAATCAGCTGGTGATCCTCAAGGTACCGGATGAGCTGGCAGTTAATAATGGATTCCATTATTAACTGCCAGCTCATCCGGTTTTATTAGGCCATTTGGACGTGGTCAATGAGTCGGTCCGTTTCAGCATTACCGTTATGAAACCTATAGAGGCACCCGTAGACGCGCGGATGGTCGTCGCTGTCTACGCGTAGCCATAGGATGAACAGGTCCGAACCTTCAAGACTGCCGGGGCGTCGAGAACAGATGTCCTCTCTGACATACACGCAAACTCCAGCCCGAGGCACAAAGGAATGCTCCAATTTGTACCCCGGGTAGGAGAGATACGAAGTATCAGCCGGAGAGGACACCTGTGTCTCGGTCAGAAAGAGCAAGGCCGGCTTCGCCGTCTCGAAATGGTAGTGGACGGCGTTTAGGTTAGAGTGAAGTCCCCTGATGTTGCAGAAATTCATGGATAGCGTGGCAGGGGTCGCCTTGGTGTTCTTGCTCAGTTTGCCCCTAGCAGTTATGCTTTTGAGCAAATTTGTTTGGGAATTGGGCCTCCGGCTGTGAGGTCGTGGTACCAACCCGGCGCGAGCCAGCCCATACATGCAACAGCAAAAAAACTGCTGCGTGGCTCTACCACCGTAGATTTTATATGATTTTACGGCTTTTAATTTCAATAGCCTCGCGTATCGTCCTCAATATGAATCGGTGTTCTTTTGCGAGGATTTGTGGTCTATCAAATCTCGCCATTACATCAGATTTAATCAGTTTCATCCATCGTTTATTTTTAAATTTATGAAGCGTTCATTCACGTAATGCTACATTAATTTATTTAATTATTTTTCCTATATTGCAAACGCCGTCAACTAAGGGTTACAAAGGGCGGACATAACGCCGCATGGCATTCTCTGCCCATGTATTAATCCAAAATGTAAAACTTTTTTCTTTGTGTTTATGGCACCTTAGCTTATAGCTTCATGTAGTAAAGTAACAACCCATTTATTTAATTAAAATTTATAACACTATAATGTTTCTCTAGTACCTATACAAACGACCATTATTGATATAACCACAATGATATGTCAGTTTTAACACTTGTTCAACATCAACAATATTCACTAATTTATAATGAATATTAAATTTTCATTTATACTAAATATACATAAAATTAACGCTAATTTTTGATGTGAAAACTTCTTTAGAGTCGTTGTGATATGAAACTCGATGAAACGTAGCGACACTAAAAAGAGACAAACATATACATCTATAGGATTTAGCCTGTGAGAGAATGAAATAGCATGATATAGTATACAATGTTTCGTATTACCTCGGTCTCAAAGGAGACGTGAAACCTTCAGAAAACTCTGAAGGTTTCCCTTCTACCGCGTGTGAACTGCACACATGTTTTTTTTTTTTTTTATCAGCCTGTACTAGAAAGGGGCCAGTCTCATAATATGGGTCGAGGCTATATGGTCTTTCGGGCATTTCGTTTACCTTTTGCGTCTTTTACAAGATGAGATCATCATCATTAAAGCCCTTCACAAGTCCACTGCTGAACATAGGCCTCACCCAAGGAATGCCACCAACCACGGTCCTGAGCCACCTGCATCCATCGACTTCCTGCATGTCTTACCAGGTGGTCACTCCATCTAGTGGGGGGACACCCTACACTTCGTCCGTCGGTACGAAGCTGCCACTCGAGAATCTTTTTCCCCATCGGTTGTCGGTTCTTTGAGCTATATGGCCGGCCCATTGCCACTTCAGCTTACTAATCTTTTGGGCTATGTCGGTAACTCTGGTTCTACTGCGGATATCCTAATTTCTAAGTTTATCACGCATAGAAACCCCGTGCATAGCCCTCTCCATAGCTCGCTGAGCGACCTTGAGCTTCCTCA